TTGCTTTAATGTATCATAATTTTGCATTTTGTCCAGAACTTTTTTGTTTTATTCAAACAAAGTAATAATCTTTTCTTTCATACCGTTGTAACAGTTTTCACTTAACATTATGTACTTGTTTCTACTTTTCTTCTCTGCATAGAGTTTTCTTCTTATCATCCGTATACTTTGTTATACATTCTAATTAGGATATATTTTGTCTCTCAGTTCAATATCTTTATTTTGTGGTGTAATTTCTGATGGTAATTTACTTTATTAGTATTGCCTTCAAAGTTTTTCTTACTGTTCATTATTTTTTAACTGCAAAGGTTCCTGTGTAATTTCCACTGTAAAAAATTATAGTTAAATGTGTTTTGTTTAATTAGTTTTCTTACATACTTTGTTTGTTTGTATTGTATGGTGATATTAATTGACTAACATATTATAATGTGTTTAGCTCAATCTTGTCAGCCAAAAGCAAGAAACGTCAGATTATGTTGATAAGCAGTGTGGGTTGTACATATATGGCTGTTATGACTCAACAGGGTAGTGAACACTAAATATTCATTAAAATGCAGGTGTATCCAGCTGAAAAACAAGTCATCAAAACTTGTGCCATTGTTATATCTGAACAATTGTAAAAGTTGCGTGATATATCAAAGAAAGCTAGAACTCAGTTTCAAAATAAGCATTTTATTTATTACTTTTCATGTCACTTTTGTATAGTTTACATATTTTCTGTTGACTAATTTCAAATGTTTGATAGTTCTATATAGCAAAAATTATACTTTCAATCACAATTTGAGGAAGTCCTTAACCAATTACGAGTTTGGAATTGCGGACAAATGTTGTATAATTTATTTATGTGAACTTTAGATCATAGTTTAAACACGCAACTGACTTATCACCGGCTCGGTACTTCAATCTAGACTTCGAGTTATCCTTTGACCTTAAAGGATGTTGTATACAATGCAATGCCACACTGTCAGGATGAGCATTTGTTCCTTTCTCTAATGTAGGACAACCAAGAGTCGAAATATATTCTCCTCTAAGCTGATGTTTTATGTCGTCATCATTGCAACCTTATAATAAAGTAATCTTCAGGTTAGAATGTTGTTAGTTCGTCGTAAACCATGTTTAAGATAGCCTTTTTAGCTATCTTACATATCCTCAATGTAAAGCAGGCCACGATATCAAACGAGACAATTGCCTTATCCTCCCTTAGTTTGACTTTTATTTGTCTAATAAGTGAGTTTATCGAGTTGGTAACAAAATGCTTGCTATAATTACTTTGATAAACTGTATTAACCCAGGGAGTATGCATGATTTGGTACTCAGTCGGACCGTGGTATTAGCTTTCTACTACATTTATCTATCGAGTGTGAAATTATGTAATATATGTAAACGATTGTTATTACCTCATGAAAATGTGATCGAACTTAGAACATAGTCAACAAAGTTTTTCAACTGACCGTAATTTTGAGAAAGAAAGGGAGGAATGAGTAATTGTCTGTTGGTTATCCTTTGTTTATTTGAACACATAAATATTGGTACAAACGGTCACCAAACACACATACGCACCACACAACAACAATGAGAATTTTGAAGAGAGAGAATGTAAGATGTGTTTAAGAAAGGGGGGGGACAATAACAAACAGAAATTAGTGTATGATAGTGAAATAATAATGAGACAGTTTAGTTAGCAAAGGCACAGCCAGAAAGAATTCTTCCAGTTGCGTCCATTTTTTATAAAGAAAGTTACAACAGGATCACCACTGGCTTCTATTCCTGAGTCATGTCTGATAACGTTTCTTGCCACTGTGTCGCACCATCTCTAGGACTCCAACCGGAGAGTCGTGAAGGACTAGCAGAGATGCCAGTCCTGTGTGGCTTTGTTTCATACCACAACACCATGTAATACACTGACCACCTCTCCGCTTTTTCCAACCAGTCCCAGCATTGGCGAATAATGCACGTCGTGGAATTCTCTGTAATGATATTCGTAGAAAATCCAAGCCGATGTTTCGAGATAGTGATACCAATTGAATTATCGTCTCTGTGCCCGAACACACGATGCTGAACCTCTGCATTACTAACATGGAGTTGCCACTGGATGTCAGCAATCCTTCGGAGACAATGGTGATCAAACTCAGAGAGTCATCTATCATCCTCAACTCGGAGAGGCCAGGTTTCACAAGCATAGAGCAAAGCTGCTCTCACCGACGCGTTGTAGATCCAAACTTTTACAGCCAGACTAACATCACAAAGGTGGCCCAGATTGGCATAAGCCGCTCTGGCTTTCACTATATGTGCATTGATCTCATCACTCACACCACCACCAGCACTTATGCAGCTACCTAGATACACGAACTTCTCGACTACGTCTATCTGAGTACAGGATTGGAATCGTGCCAGTCTTGTAGAAGTACTTTGCGCTTCGAAGGTGCAAAGCACACACCTAACTACTTTACTCCCTATTTCTTGAAATGCTGTCACATGGCCACGTGTATTCGGCCACTGTCCTACTCACTGCCTTCTCGTGGCGGGGATGTTGTTTACGAAATTGAGAGGACGAAAATCGAATTTCCGATGCTTTAACCGGGTTAGTGGACATGAAGGGTTCACCTAGGTGGATGGGAAAACCCTGATTTCAAACCAATGGTGCACATAGGTTCCAGCGTCCCGAGGGAACAAACGGTGTATGAAGCAGTTGTTGGTCACCGGCTATCGTGGGACTGCATCTCCTGTCGTTGCTCCAGTGCCTTGTGGATCAGATCCTTAGATCGAAGGCTTGGGGTTTAGCTCCCTAAGAAAACCACTTGCCTCAGTCTGGGCCTCCGGGCAGTATCACAGTTCACACACAAATCAAATGAAATGACATTTGAGCCAGGCCACATTTCCCACAGTTGACTTTCCACTGGAAGATTCAGTCAAAACCTCAATACCAATTAATTGCAGCCATTAAGATATATCGGGGCGATGTAACTTACGAGCTTTACCTATCCAATTATTCTAAATGCGAAAAACGTTTCATGGGACTCAAACCTTGGGCCAGTAGCCCATGCTCATCCGTATTTGTTTTTTCAAGATGAAGTCCTCAATTCAAGCACGAACCGTTTCGATATATCCTCTGAATTATATATGATCTATAAGTAAGATCACAGGACCATGAATTCAATTCAACCAATGTTACCAAACCATACTAATGCGAAGTTTATGTAATCACATACACACCATGCTCACAAATAAACCAGTGGAAAACAAAGCGGATTCATTGTCTACAAGCCATCTGACGCTTAGTTGGAGTTAGCGAGCTAGTTAGTTTTAGACCCGCGCATGTATGTATTGATCCAATTTTCACCTTTTGTCATGTTTCTGGAATGCAAGCATTCTCAGTGTCTCTCTACAATAGTTGAATCTCTCGACCTGAATCGAGGATTCGTTCCTGTTGATCGGAAAATATTCGTCATTAAAGGTGTCGCAAAATTGTAAACAAGCCTTTTCGGAATTCTTTATACCAACTAAGTTGTCTGAGCCATAGCTTATGACAAACTATTATCGGAGCTGTAGTGTTCTCCTGGGATACTCAGTTTCTCAATTCTCACCTAATTCTTCGTCTAGATATTCTGGGAATCGAACTTTCTGAAACTGATTTTTCACGGATTCGTCTTTTTTAAAAACCTATTCATCTTCCGGAGCACGCAGACGACATATACCTCTTTAGTGATAACGCTGATGAAATACAGAGTTATCTTGACGTCTTCCGTAATAGTTGCTTTCCGTTTAAATGCAAAATATAGACTCCAAAGTGGTCTGAATCAACTTCTAGATCGGTCGTTGGAGGTGAAGTGGTTGAACTCACTGAGCACTTTACTTATCATTGAAATCTCGTTGACACTGGTGGGTTTGTAAAGAGGACAGATTCAGAAAGCACACTTGACTTTTTTGGTTACTTGTAGTACAGATATGATCTCCATCTACCAAGGAAGTGTCGAGTACCCTGTGCACCAATCCACTTCTTTACTCATTCCTGGAAGTTCTTGTTCACAGGTGTTTTCGAGACGTTACTCGTGTGTCGTGAAACAAATGAATAAACAATGCTAAGATTAAATGTAGGATACTAAAAAAGGTGTCACCTACAAATCTTCATTAAAGAAGGTGTCTGTGACATGTTTTACACATGAGTAACTACCCATTATCTCAATGTTTAATGTTGGTTCGATAAGTAGTAAGTTTTAAAGAAGTCAATTGAGACCGAACCTGGATGTGGCACTAATCCATGTAATCGTTGACTGTCAGTCTGATATGTATTAGGAGTGTCAGACTACGTGGTTGGAGTGCGTATAAACATCATGATTAGTTTTTGAATGACATCGATCAGGATTGGAAGCTTGTCCGAATGCATTCTTTTTTTTTTACCTCATTCAGTACTCTTCCATACACTCTTCTTGTCTTTTTGAACTATATTCACAATGTCTAGTTTTTTTCATTAACTTGGATTTTGACTAATTATTGTGCTGATTTGTTTTCTTTTGTTCCTAATGTGTATTCAGTACCGATTTCAAGTATAAACTGACCAATTAAGAAGAAATAGTTAATCTGTTTTAACTTGAATAATCATCTGTATTACTCTGGTGTGTGCTACTGATGTCGACACATATAAGTACTATGTATTATCAATCGAAAGTGAAATGCCTGGAGGCAGAAATTTAAGAAGATCGAAGAGAACGAGAACAAAGAATGATAGAACAGTGAAGTCTGAAACGAATGATTGACATTTTGCAAATTAAGTATTTACTGTATGGTTCTCAGATTTTACTAAGACGTTCTGTAATTTTGTGTTGAAATACAGCTGATTGTCCCCACTTGTGTTCTCGTTCACTACACTACGATAACTAGATGATATAAGCTTGAATTGTAAGTAATTGTTTCACTCTACTAGTAAGTTAATTTTCCTACTTTTGTATTTTTAGACAAATATGTTTATGACCTCCCTTAACTCTGATTTTGTTTTCTCCTTAGCACTTTACCTTTTATAATGGACTCGGCAAGTGAAGAAAAAGTATCATTCAACTCTAAAATTCATTGCGTCTATACATCAGTTGGTATTAATCATTTCTCTGGATGCAGCTCTATCATAGCTGTCAAGTCATCAAATAAGTCAACAGTTGGAACTATATTGGCATTCGGTTCTAGTCATTTTATATGCTTAGCTAAATCCTACTCTTATCTAAATGATGAAATGATTAATTTGAATACAGATTTTTCTCAAGATAATTTTCGTGTTTATCAAACGTTACCTGGTCACAATTCTGATGTCAGATGTGTACGGTGGTTGGACTGTTGTTTTCATAATAAAAGTTCATCACAAGTTTATCGACACACCATGTGTTTTCTAATGTCGTCTGATAGTTGTGGTCTAGTGATAATTTGGGCCTGTCCAACTGAAAGTTTAATCTGTCCTGATGAAACAGAAAACTGGCATATAATTAATAAATTCCAGACTCCGAATAACTCCATAATAAATTCAATTGATGGTTACTTTTTCCCTTCATCGGAAAATGATCGCTCGTGCTCAGGGACGTTATTCCTATCAGCTGCAGCGGATACATCAGTTCATAACTGGTCTGTTCATATTTCACAGAATCTGCTTACAAATAAATCAATTTTATTACCATGTATTTTAATCAGTAATATCACACGAGTTCCATCACTTTGTCTGTGTCTCAGACGTTTTTGTATAAAATATAATTTCCAAACGTCCAGTGACAATATTGACGTATTTTGGCTTCATTTTATTGTTCTTGGTCTTGACAACGGACAGACAGAAATATGGTCAGGTCATCTGGTCAATGATCAGAATGAAAACGTTAAAAGTCTTAACTTCACATTAAGCACTACCATTTCTGGGCATCAAGATTGGACTAGATGTATTGATGTATGTATTGACCATGGGCTGACATCTCCTGTTGTACTGATCGTTACAGGTGGTCAAGACAATATTGTTCGAATATGGCGTTTATATTCTCCAGAAAACGATAACAGTGTAACAAGTCCTGGGCATGCGAAGGTATTCAGCTTTTAACAGTTTACTTCTTTATCTTAATTTAATGTAGTGTAATGACGTGGTTATAAGGTCCATTTGTAATCTATAAGAAAGTTTCAGAGATAAAAAATCTCAGTTAATATGAAGTCATTCATCTCTTAAATTAGTAGTATTTACATTTTCGTTTTTTTTAAATATCCCTTATTTATAAATCTTATGAATAGCCATATTTTTGTATACCTTTCATTATTTTCATTCCTGTTAAATATCCTACAAAGTGCGGTTACTCTCTAAATTATAGTGAATATATGAAGTACTTCAGCTGATTAATTTTCTTATTTAAAAGTTACTAAACATATTAAATGAGTGTTTTTGTACTGAAATTTAGAAAATTCGAGTAATGCTTTATCATTTGTCAAGTAAGTCTAAAGCTGAAAGGATTCTTAAATTACTCAATATCTGTATGCATTACTTGTTGAACGGGTGAACTTCATAGAGGAAATCAGCCTAACTTAGATTCCTATAGAACTATTGTAAGGTATATACTCGTCAATTCAGAAGTGATGACTGCTGCATTAAATGAGAGAAAAAGTAGTGAGAAACTTTTAAAATATAGTCTTATAAAAAAACTGTTGTATCAACATATATGTTTGTTGTAGAGTAGATTATTTTACACTTCTTACTATGCTCTATAAGGGAGATAAGCATCTGTGGAATAATTTGATAATTTTCTCTCTACCCATTAATCCTGCCAGTGTTACGTATGCCCAACGACCGACTGCCTCGACGTGCGATGTTCAGTGGTATAGGAGTAGATTGGAAGAAAGCTAGGGGCGGCCAGACCAAAACATGGCAAAAGTCCATGAAGTCACTGACAAGTGGTCTGAGTCATGTTGATAGGTATAGACTACCTGGTTGGGGACCGCGAGATGATAGCAACCGATGGTTAGAGACCCTGAATGACATGGCTCAAAATCGTTTGCAATGGCGCAGGTGCATCCACTCTTTGTGTTCTCCCAAATTCTAATCTTCTGAATTCTTCATGTCCCTTTTTTCCTCTTTCCAAATTTATTTCACTGAATTATACTCTTTAAATAACATCTCCAAACCCTAATCTTCCCGATCACTGCTTACACTCTTGCTACCTCTACCACTACGGGATTTGAATCGACAACTGCATCTCTGTGTTAAGGTGGTGTGGCAACTCGAACTGATGTACGTACGTACGAAGTTCTACGTTGTTACTGACTGACTGACTGAATCCTGCCAGTTCCTTACGTTTCGTTTAAATTCTGGTGGTTTACAGAATATATCTGTCAATCTTGAAATACTTCTGATAAGCTACTTCTCAAACAGACGAAACTTTTATTCAAGATTTAATTTATTTTAATTCGGTTATGGAAATATTCTAGCCTATACAATATAGCTAGTCAATTCAAACAATTGGTTGAGCAATGCTGTGCAGAAATTATTGACATTCACGCTTTCAATGTTTACCTATGTTTAAACTATCTGCTACTGTTTACTAATCAACTTTGTATTTATTGTTTATTAAAGGCCTGTAGTCTTCATCTTCCTGAATGGTTTGCGACTAACAACATTTGTATATGCGTAGCGCCAGAAAGTGTCTTAGCCAGCCATGAAAATTGGGTCACTGCTGTTCGCTGGGGACCAACAATAAACGGTTTATTCCCCCCTAATTTGCTTACTTGCAGTATGGATAAATCATTAATCATTTGGCAGCCTCCTAGTGAAAATGCTTTAGATTCATCGGATGTGTGCAGTTTATGGAAAGAAAAAGCCCGATTAGGACATTTTGGCGACACTGGATTGAGTCTAATGGACTGTCACTGGTTCCCCAACGACGGTCACAAAGTATTTGTGCACACCTTTCAAGTATGTTTGATTTTGTCTTATTGGTATTCAGAGAGGGGTTTCGTGGATATTATAGTAATTTAATAATTGAGATTGTAAATCATTTACGAAACCTCGCGAGGCGGTATCGTGGACGCTCACTGCCGGGGAGTCCCATACTAGAACGAGACGGCCGTTCAGTGCTTACAAGTTATGCATGGCGGTCTAGCTTCAGTTGACTCATGAATTCAATTTCTAAAAATTATTGATATTGGTTGTCTTTTTATGAAATTGAACTCTAAAATTCCCTGATGTTGTAAGCAGTTTAAATGGGTCCAATATTTAACTCATTCGAAAAGACCAGACGATTTTCATTTATGATATGCTAACACTAAGTCCGTTAGTGTTATCTTGTTCTTTCTTTTAAAGACTATTGAAAGTGTTGTGGGATTTTAAAAAAAAATCAGACACGTCTACATTCTGTGCTATTTGTTGGTGTAGGTAAGTAAATGCAACATAGGGTTTGAAAAATTATATTTCGTTTGTAATACTCAGAATTCATTGCAACTTTGCCAAAGAATTGAGAAAGTGTTATCATAGTTAGGCATAATAATGGGGATACGAGGTCTGTACTTATAATGTGTTCAAGGTTTACAAAAAGAAAGAAGCAAACACATCAGTGCACCACTGTTGGGTATTGTGAGCCATCTTAATTAAAATCCACCTTATTTTTCCTGCACATCCCAATTAAAGGGGTTTATAGATCTCTAGGCAACTCAAACCAACAGTTAGCCGATTTATAGATTGATGATATATATTGGTTTGGTTATCTCAAGGTTTTTCACAGGCCATTTTTATAACCTCAGCGTCGCTCGCTGGTAATGCTTGAATTTTTCGATCATAAAATATTATCGTTTTTCTGTATCTTAAAAAAAGTATAGTTTACAGCTATTAATTTTATCACAGCTCACTGATACAGTAGACTTAGTCACCCATGAATAGTCGTATACCTTTCATGTGATCGGTGATCGGTATAAGAAACAGAACACTGTCTACTGTCCAAAACAAGGTCAATGAAAATGATGAGAACCTTTTTCATCGTTGCTAACACTCAACTACATATAGGACACTTGCTGTTGTATAATGCTTGTAGTTTTTTTAGGTCACTCTATTAAGTTTATATTTCTTATTTCAATACATCATAGGCACATATTTAACATATATTAATAGGGATGATGTAGTTTTGCTAGACTCTTTGTTTTTCAATCTATTCTAAAAACATTTCCTTTTCTATTCAAACACGTAAGATATGTATAAACCAACACGTATTAGAAATCAGTCATATTGCTTACCAAGTGCACTGTCTCATGTTGTAGCAAGTGGTTATATAATAACCCTAAAGCCGTGAAAATCAAGTGTTTCCTGAGTTTTTGACTCTTGGTTGTTCAATTCAGTTGTCTGTTTATTCTGGTTCCATATGATTGTTCTTAGTCTTCCTAACTGACAAACAGTAATGCAGTTAGGTCATGACTTCCAGTCTATATCTTAGTCACTTCTTTGTATATTTATTTCGATTTGTCTAAAATTGGAAATGAAGCTAATCTTTTGAAATATTTTGTAATCTAGTTTCAGATTTTGCATAATAAAATTTTGTAGGGAAGTATTTCAGTCTGGTGCCGATCTGATAAAGACTTTTGGCTTCCAGCATTACCGTTAACAGGACATGTCGGACCTGTTGCTGATTTAAGTTGGATGTCAACATTCCCTGAGGAAAATTTTAAAGATGATGACTCATACACTTATCTTCTATCTGCAGGATTTGATCAAACAGTCCGTTTACATGCATGCCAACCAAACACCAGTAATGAAGAAAAAGGTATGTATGTTTCTTTATGTCATAATGCAATATATCCTTGAATATTGAAAGTGATTTTTTTATGACCTTTATGAATGATATAAATTGATATTTTGTACTTATTAAACTGTATACTTAAATACTATTTGAATTTATGAAAATTCAATCCTATAAATTGAGATGCCAATGTTGTTTACATAAACATGAAAAAATGTACGTGCTTAGGCACCATTTAAAAGATTATTTCACTAGTAAAATGTTTATTAAGGTTCACCGAGTACTTTCCAACTATAAAATCTTATCAATGGATTTGTGCTAAATATCTTTTCCATTTATAGGTTTTGGAAGATGGGTTTGGTAAAATCAAATCTGATTTATGTTTTTGGTTTACCATTTTCACCCCTTGATTTTTGTCACACCAGTTATAAATGGCCTTTTATTTTGCGTAACTTCATGAAGAACGTCTGCGAGCGACGGTACGGTGTATATACATCACATTTTTCAGATCAACTCCATCTTATCGCTCTGTCGAAATTTATAAAAGGAACTAATTACTTAGAAAATCTGTAAATTTAATCTTAGTCGTATAAATCTACCAGAGTCTGGTGGAAATACTTATAATAACTTGTGGCAGGTTCTAACACCAATACTAAAACAGTTTTCATTTTAAATCTTGATTTCACTTGTGGAAACTAACACATTCTATGAATAACATGTATTTATATTCAGAGAATAACTTTTCAAATAATCCATGAATAACCGACTGGTAAATTTTAAAAAGTAAATCATCCAATTTTGAGTGCTTGTTCTCTCATGCTAACTAAAAGTTATCTCTCAGTTCTACATATATGATGATACTATCTTTAAGAACTAAATATATGGTATACATCTATTACGTCAAGATAGTGAATAATAAATAAATCAAACATAAGTGGCCAAAAATGATTAATTTTCCGATTATTTGTTGTATAGAATATCTATTTTCCTAGTAACTTACTTATATTTCTTGACTAATGTAACTCATTCGTCAAGTACCGATTTGTGTACATGACTTAAAGCTTTCATTCTACTAGGTTTTCCAATTACAATTTAGTCAACCATACGCGAAATAAAACCTGGCATATGTGTATGTAGGTACAAGTTGCCACATTATTAGCATAACGAGATGAAATCATCAAGGCTAATCCCAGCGGAGTATAGTGACAGTATTAGTGGCGATAGAAAATATTAGGCACTGAAGGTACTATCGGAACTAAAATACAAGACCAGGACTTACAATTCAGTAGTTAGAAGGCGAGTTTCTCCATCACAAAGCCACGACTTTGAGCGGCATTCTAGATTTTCACTTGTTTTTTATGTGGTCATTTAAACTATTGGTTTGATATTATCAAGCGTCAGTGGTTTATACTGTGATTTTTTAAAAGCCGTCATAGTGATGTCAACTCCATGCTAGTTTTCAAAATGTTCTTGTTTCTTTATAGATTTCGGTTGATAATAAGATTGCGGAATTCATTCTTGTTATTATAAAATATTAGATCTTCTATTAAGCCTTTTTAGCTCTTGCGTTTCTATTCTAATTTTAATCTTATTTTTAATATAATCCAGTGATTATTCACAGGTTTACACGTTTGGGAGTGTGAAGAGTCTACTTTCCTTAAAAAGATGGCTTCATTCGACCGCGCTTTCATAGTATCTTCCCAGGGGTTCTACTTACTGCTTTCATATGTCAAGAGTGCTAAGTAGGATTCAACTATTGGGATTGGAAAGTCGTGATCGCTAAACAGGCTCTTAAAAGAACGAATAGGGTATGAACCTAATGCGGCAATTGACTTCAATGCGACTGCATCTGCTGATATTGCTTTACTAAATTTTAGATTAAACATTTAGGGAAAAGGTTCAACGGGATTTTTCGTAATAAAAGCACCTGTCTCATTTTGGAAACCTGAATAATATCACAGTTCGCATACAATAAAGTATAATCATTAGTATAGAAAATGAATGTAATGATTTACTCACACTAGGGAGCAGTGACCTCATAGCGAAAGCGTTTGATTTTCACTCACTAGATCCCCTATTGGAACAGGTCTTCGTTTACTCCAATTTGGATAACTGGGTACTGTCATTAGCCTTCGTTCTCAAGTACCGATAGATGAATTAATTGTCATTATAAAAAGACAATTTAAAATCAAATAATTTGTCTATTATTGCTTGTCAGTTATTTTTAACACAAAAGTAATTAACTTTTTAGCATTTTTTAAATTTTGTTTGAACATTGTCAAGTAAATTTACACTAATCTAATTTATCGTTATTTAGAATTAATTCAAGAATTTTGGTTCGAATTAGCTAGACCACAAATTCATGGTTATGATATGAATGCAATTGCTAGTATTTCACCAATATTTTATGTATCAGCTGGTGATGAAAAAGTTGTTCGTGTATTTACCACTACTAAAGATTTCTTAAACTCTTTTAAAAAACTATACAAATCACCAACAATTTGTTCAAAACTAGATAGAATTCTTGCTGATAGTTTAATACCTACAGGTAAATTGTTACAATTTAGTTTTCTTGAGTTATTTTTATTGATTTCTTGGAGAAAAATTCATTTATCAACTAACTATGTTATTTATGTTCATGGTCTGAACTATTTATTTAACCTGTAAATCGATCTGTACAATAGTACATATTATTTACAAACTGCTAATTTTATCAGTCTAGAACATGTACTGACGTGAGCTTATTCAAAATGAACTTTTATTCGAATGTATTAGGTCAAAAAGTGTAAAGTTAGTCGAAATTCATAATTAACAATGTAGGCAAATTACGTTCAGATCTGTGTTAGTAGACGATTTTTTGATAAGCTTAAGAACATTCAAACTGATGAGATCCTTAGACATTATATAGCTTTATTTACCTCAATTGAACCAAAGTTAACAAGGACTTTATATCCCCGCTTGTTGCTAATAACCTTAATCTTCCGAAACACAAAGCTACAAAATTAACTTTAATTAGAATTTATCTACTTATACCTAATAAAATATTCTCAATTTAATAAAGTCTACCAATGAGATCAATAACTGAGCTTTTTTCAAATATATCGATGTTGCGATTGGGAGCTTCACACTTACAAGTAATCAAGTCAAAATGTAGATTCGTTTCGTGAACGCCACATCTGTCATCGAAAAGGATGAGCTGGAACATTCCTGCACTGATTAACAAAGACTGGTGACGAAAAGTTCAAAATGGAAAGTCCAACAACAAACTATTTTTCTTGTATATGTTGATCACCACAAATAACATAGGAAAAATGGAGATTAAGGTATATGGTCAATCGTCACACACAGATCAAATTCTGATATACAATCGCAGCAACCCAACTGCTCACAAAGTAAAGTGCTCACTATTCAAAAGTGTAAAAGATCACTGAAACACATCTACAATATGGAGAAACGAAGAAAAACGTTTAATGATTTTTTTCGGAAGAACGGCTATCCACGCAATTTTATTCAAAATTGTTTATGAAACACACCAATAGGAAGGAAATCGAATGTGGAAACCAACAAATAGATCTACCTGCCATATATGGATACATCAGAAATTACCATGAGATTACTGAAACAGTTAAGAATAGACGTACCTCCATAATGCAGCAAAATCAATTCAATCAATCTAATACAAACCAAAGCTTAAAATAGGGAAACAAAAAAATCCGAACATTTTCTACAAAATAAATTGCCCTTGTGGTGAAAAATACTATATTGGTCAAAGTGTCCGTCCTGTTCACTTTCTTCTACATGAACCTCAACCACCTACCGAACTCCTTGATGTATGTTCACTCATATCAATAAACAAAATGACCTATATTTTTCAACAACAAAAAATTCTACTCACATTTTATGCTTTGTGAAATCTCTTTCTTTATTTGATTATCATTATCTGTTGTGTAATTAATTTTAATTCAGGTGCTGTACAACCACCACTCGGTCTTTCAAATCAAATTGTTTCTAGTCCATCTAATGTTAATGATGTCATCGACAACCATAATAATATTGAGGACCATGATCGCAATGAATATGCCAATAATAAGGAAAAAGAAAATCTGGATAAAGTTGTATGTTTACCTTCACTTAATTAATATTTGGCTCTATTATTCTGATTTATGATCTTCTTTTCAATTAGTCGTTCTTTTTTGTTGTTATTAAATGAAGCTTATATTAATACGATTAAGCTGTCAGCCTCTTTACTATCTAGTCTAATCTTCTAATCGTCTTCATTTTATAGTTGAGGATTACTATTATTGTAGCCTGTCAATAGTTAATGTTCCCACCTAAAAATTAACGTCTAATATGCGTAACGTTAGTCAATCAGATGCCATCTATGTGTGTTTCTCTATCCTAGTGCCTGCTGAAAAGTAGTGTTTTTTTAAAACTAAAATATTCATATTTTTATTAGGTTTCTCTGCTTCATATTTCCATTAATGTGGAAAAAGATTGTCAAATCTATATTTTCGGGCTTAATTTAACTAAAGTAACTATTTTTCAAGGACTTGTTGGTTTCCTTGTAAACTCGGATAGTTAACGAATAATGCAAGTCAAATCTGATGCCTATAACTCCCAAACATCACTTTTACCGTAGATTAGTTACTAGCACTTTAAAAAGCTTCATTAGCGACCAGAATTCCAAAAACTGTCTGAGCATAGTAAATATAAATTTACAATATAAATCTTGCCCAATAGTCTGCACTCTATGTTAGCTTCAGTGGCGTTTACAATGCGTAATCACCTCGAAAAATAGCGAAATACAAATTTGTAGTTGTATTTACGATATTATTTAAGCATAATTATAAAATATACGAAATACCTGAACAATACAGTTTCTATGCTATAAACTTAAAAATTATACTAAAACGCTTGTACAATCAAATCTAGACTGCGATAAATAGCTTGCTAAAAAATAGAAAACTGTTCACTTAACAAAAGTAAAAGCTATTCGTGACAAGTAGAAATATTTGATTTACAAGCAATCAACTCAAATGTAGACAGCTAAACACTACAAATCAATATTACTTCGACGAACACCTTGAGTCTTTAGTAAAACAAAATCTAAGACGGTCAGGAACGCATCGTACAATAGCAGAAGCAAAACAAAAGAACGAATAATTTAAATAAAGTAGTGTATTACTAATTTCACTGAAGCCAAAAACAAATGTTTGTAGACATTATAACCAATAACGTTGCACTTTAGTAGAAATGAATAATTATTATCGCATAGAAAGTCAATTGGGGGGATTTCTTCACATAACTCTTCCTTTTTTTATGTTACTCTAATATATATTGTAAAATCTCTTTCAACATAGGTTTTGATTACTTTCAATTCCAATCATTACACGTAGTCGTTTGAGAGGATTCTTTGCGAACTAACCGAATTCGCGATCTTTCAGTTTGTGTAAAAAATACATATATCAAGATTTTAATGTGTTATTTTCCAATTGTTGTTTAGTTGTCTTTTTTCAAATAGATGTCAAAAGTTACTTGTTAGAATTTAATTTAATTATTAGTTGGTATATAAACATCCCATATATTTTCTTTTAAATCTTCTTGATGCCTAATTGTTGCAGTTTAAAGAAAAAAAAACAAATCAACATGTATTACTGCAGAGCTCGATGATCATCATTTTGAGGTTCATTAAACGTGGTGTAGCTATATGTAAAAATATAACATGAAACGAAAGTAAATAAGAGTTATTTAACATTAGTTTAATCTTAAACTAGATTCAGTCATCAATTAGTGAATTGATTTTAGACTCAGAATACCTATCTAAACGGTAAATAAAATATGCCTTGTAATATTCATTCCGTTATATAGATTAATTTGTGTTCTTGCTAATTGCCATAAACTACCGCTATGAAATGTACTTCTTAAAATTTGAAATTTCAGTGTATATCTAATGAACTTCCTACAGAAGATCGGTTACAACATGCAACACTATGGCCGGAGGTAAAAAAGTTGTATGGTCATCCTTATGAGGTAAGTAGAATGTGTATATCTTACTTCATATTCAAATGGTTATTGTTTAGTGTTGAAGTGAAATTTGCATGATCTTTATAAATTCTTAATGTATAAACATTGTCACTTGTTTGTTTGCTAATAAAGCTGTAGAAAAATTCAATAAAATGCAATTGAATTCTTAATTTCAAACCACTTGTTAAATGACGAATTAAGAATTCATTTCGTATATTTACGTATGTCAGGTAGTGTATTCGATATGTATATGCAAATGAATACAGATGAGCGGGTAAATTGACTTAAATTACATATAATATACATCTCTTCTTTTGTAAATATGCTTGCTACCCTTAATATTTCACTCTTCTAAATTTATGTTCCTATTCACTTTTTTCTTTGGGTTTTAGATATACTGTTTGGCAGTTCATCCACGCCAATTTCTCGTAGCCTCTGCTTGTACAGCATCAAAACCTGAATATGCCCATATTATATTATGGAATGGTACTTCTAATTGGTGTATACACCAGGTAACTGTTTATGACTTATCAATCAAGAAGTATTACTATTTTTACCATAGCATATGAAGATGCAAAATTTCCTGCCACACAATACACATTCAGTTTTTCATTGGTGGTTGTAATGGTACCTACAATGACGGTTTAATCATTAAACCCTATTGGTCTGATTGAAATATGTCAGGTATCCTACATGAGATGAATTATTATCTGTGTTAAATATCCTCAGAATGATCGTATAAGATATGTTTGTGCTTAATGTCTGAAACTTAAGTTAGTTAAGTCAAGGGATCATCTGTTAATAACCGATGTTACGCTTTAAGTTTTAGTACTTATACAGTCAAAAGGACCACAAATTTGACTCTCAGATGTCAAGTAGTTGATTAACTACAGCAACAACACATTAAATAACTAATGAGACTAAAGTTTTGGCCAATGTGTCACTACTTATCCTCTCAGACCCAGAAAATCGAAGTTTCGCAACTTTCAAGCTTTTTCCGTATTCCTCAAGTAAATGTAATCTCTTTATTATTAAAGCTGACCTGTTAAAAGTTAAGAAGCTTTTCGAATTATAATTCGACCTATGCACAAAATGTAGTCTTTTATAGTCTTTTACTCTCGACTTGAACCTATGACTTTCTTTTGAAGTACGTCTAATAAACTACATATGTTTATACCTTATTCCTGGTGTTCAACTTATGTTTTCTTAGCGTTTGCAACATCATCAGTTGACGGTAACTCAGTTAGCATGGAGTCATGATGGGACTAGATTATTGGCTGTTTCAAGGGATCGCACATGGAGTTTATGGTCTGAACAACCGATGAATAGCGCAACAGAAGGAACGAATCATCAACTTTCAAACTTTATCCTATCTGCTTATCCCATTAAAGGTCAAAGTCATTCAAGAATAATTTGGACTTGTGCATGGAGTCCAGATGATAAGTGAGTTACTTTCCACTTTCATATCTTTCTACCTCCTAACTCACCTGAAAATATTATATTATTAAGAGCTTATTGAATCATTTATGCTCTTGTCCCTTTTAAATTAATTTTTTATTTAATTTCTTTTAATTGTTTCGTTTCATGCAAGAAGATTCATTTAAATTTCTATGACTGGACTGAAAATATTCTTTAGTGTTTAGAGAATACAATTATCGTTACGTCATTAACAAAAAAAGTATAATGATAAAATTAATTGAAGCGCAAATTCCGTTCAATGCAAAAAATTATATTAAATGGTGTAAAACTAGTTTTCCTGTCAAAAACCACAAACTCTCGACCTAAATAATTGTAACAGTGTTAAAATATATTGGCAGTAGGGTTATAAAAGCAATCTAAGTAAGCCATATTACCCACCCACACACACACACACACACACACACGCTGTACTTACTTTCTTCAACACGGAATACGTTTTATATTATGGATTTACGCTTGTATGTGATTTATTAATCTGACTTAACTATCAGATGTGATAATGACTTCATTTAGAACTAATGAATTACTTTTGGGCTCATATTTTCAACGCAATAAAATTATCTGTATCCATGAATTTCGAAACGGAATGAGTTTAGTTTGTATGATAAGAAACTAATTGATTTGTTATAAATTTTCTCAACATGTTTTCAATGTCGTTTGATCGTGAAGTCGATTTTATAAATCTGTACTTATTTAATACACCAATGTTTGTGCTCTGTTCATCATGCGTATTATTGCTCTTACTGTTTAAATTTATTTTCAAGATACTTTTTCACAGGATCCAGAGACTCATCAATTTATTGCTGGAGTGGTGCTGTCAAAATACAGAAATCAACGGACTGTTTGCCTCCTGAAGCTCTTCGTCGATTAGATATGTATAAAGAACTTGGAAAGTCAGTAACAGCTATAGATGTTTGCGAAAGTTTTAACTCAGAATGCTCGTCTAATCTCCATTCGTATTTAATGGCTGTTGGTTTAGAATCCGGTAACATAATATTGCTTAAATTATGTGAAACAGGATCATCTGAGCGCTTTTTCACATGGTCGATTGTTTTAAATTTCCCTCCAGATTGGTGCCATGTTCCAGGCAAAAGGTTAAGGCGAATTTCGTTTTCACCTCAGAAAGATAATTACTTTAAAACATCGATTAAATACATGGCGACATCTGGTGATGATGGAATAGTTCGAATTTTCAAAATCAACATTAAATTATTATAATGTCGTTGTGTATTCATATTCATTTGAAATAAAACCAGCTTTGATTTTTATTTTCATACTGTATGATTTTAATCCAATAAAGTTTGTTAATTTGACAAGTCAATCGATTTTAAATTCATAGGAAAACGCTAGACGCAGCATCTTATTTTATAAAAATTATATCTAAGTGACCGTTTTTTTTCATAAGACCCATTCAGTTTTAAACACTTAGTGATAGATTTATACAATCAAACAAATTAAGGTGTATATGTCTTCACCATAATCACACTTATGAATAATGTATGATTTTGTAGAAATAATAATTAAATAACAGAGAAATCTATGTACTTTTTGCATCTAGTCACTTTTGATAGACAATGGGCATTAAAATCTCGATTTTAAAGGTAAATTCGATTAAGGCTAATTCCATGTATTGAAATGTTTTTCCTAAATTTTCTTTTTGGTGTTTGAATTTTGAACTTGTACTTTTTTATATAACATAACAAAACTCACGTTATTTTGTTTTATCTTTCTAAGACACTGACGAATTCCATTATCCCTCTAAAGACAGTGTTCATTCAGTACTATAAGCAAAATTTCATAGTTTCTCCATACGGACATGAACAGTCTAGCTCGTTGACCATATATCTTGGGAATCTCCTCAGCGTTGATGAGTTGGTGGTCGACGAAATTTTCGGATAGATAAAATAATTATTTCACTTCAACCTGTAGCGAGTATTAGATCTGATTTTGTTCCACCGCTGTAAAATATGTCTTAGAAACATACATGGATTGTGTAGACTGTGAGTACTTACTCAAGCCCTTGCAACATCACTTGGATACGAATGAATCATCAAAGGAATCAGGCTTAAGGTACGAGACTAAAATTTAATATACTGAGATAGTTAGGTTATATGTTATTCAAAGGTGGCTATTTCCTACGTGTAATTGGAGTTTAAATCAAACTAGCTACAAAATCAAGAATTATCACTAACCTGTGTAGTAAACAATGTTGGGTGGTACACACCTTGTTGGGTACCGCTCAAAATGCATAACCTGTCTTAGGAAGCGTCGGATGACATGACTTAGAATAATTTGCAGTGAGACAGTTGTATTTGTTCTGTTTTCGTCTTCATCTTACTGATTTAATGTTTGGCAATATGAACCGATCCAGATCCTATTTTGACTGTTACCGCCTTTAGAAAAGGACCAAAAGATGTGAGTGAATTAACTTGAGCATCCCGATAAATATACGCACATGGATACCAGATTTATACCTAGATATGGTACTAGAAATGTCTGTCGTTTCTAAACTTGGTATTGTTATTTCATATTTAACCAAAATGTTGATTTAGAGTCCTGATCAATAATAAGAACTGCTCAGCACTTCTTTCGGTTTTCCTCTAAGTCTATGAAAAATATCTTGTGGAAGTAGAATGTATGCATAGGCTGGAGGATTTTAGCCATGGCTGTCTTCAAAACATTTTTCGCATATGGTGTAACAACTGTGTCAGCTATGCTGGGTTTTGACGTAGGGTGCTGTACAAAGATGGTAAATCAGATGATAAAGCTGAGAATTTTCATCAATCAAGATAGCTGTGATATCCATTACGTATATAGTTACCACCTGCCATGATGTGTAAGTTTGGCTAGAAAAGCAGTAAGTTGAAAAAACTGGAGGTGGCGAAACCAAAACGTAGCATCAGTTTGTGAAGTCACTGACTGTCTGTTCGAAACACGTTGCTAGGCGCAGACTACCTGGTTGGAGTCCACCCAAAGTTCATGGTCAGTAAGGCGTCCAACGATATGGCTCATGATCGATCACAGGTGTTCCGATGTATTCAATGTTTATATCTCTTTGTAATAAGTATTTGTATTCTTTTTTGAACTAGATCTTCAATCTTTAGCCCTTTTCATTATCATTGCCACTGCAATTATTTCGCCCTATTTGTTACTCATCTTATGGATCATCTCTCGTTGTGCTAATTTGCTTTGAAAACTTTAGCCGACACTCAATTGTGCTAGGTTCGGCGCTGAGACCTTCGCAAATATTGTTTCTGTCAGAATCAATGTCACTGATTAATCAGGTGTTTGTATTTCGTTGCGAATGAATCGAATAGTAACATCACCAGGTAATCATAACCTGTAAACATGAATAATGGAAGTAGCAAAGTGCTAACGATCTAGTTGGCTCTATGTGAAATCATTAAAACATAGTAATATGAAACTGCTCTGTTAGACCAATGATTATGTTGCGCGAAGTACACATAAACTAATATGGTTGATAGTTATGTGAATGGGAAATTTATGGCGTTTTTATTTTATTTAGATCATAGCTTATTTGACATAAGAAACGAACTTTGTCAGATGAACTTTGAAGACATTTATTTTTCGTCAACTATGGATGTACTATGTGATTGATTATTTCTGATTTCCCCTCTAAATATATTATGTAAGAGGAAGGGTTTTTCGGTGGTGTTGTGTTCCTTAAGTTGGATGATCCAATTTTTGGGGCTTTCATTGTCCTTTCGATCAACATTATCAACACATACTACAAAGAAAAGTGAGCTTTTGAAATTACTCCACAATCGCCCACTCAGGTAGTTGTGTTTACCTTCAATTTGGTTAGTCATCTGATTTTGTGATCATTACTTGCATGTTGGCTTTGGATGTTTTCTCGCCTGATTTGAACTCTAACCTTGCAGTTGTTGATTCCTCTTCCTGTTGGCAGATAGGCATGATCAGTTTCAATATATACATTGATGTTCGATCAGAGTGCTAGACTTTTGAAATTTTCTAACTATTTACAATTGGATTCAAAGTTATGAGGATGGAGTCTGACTATATTGAACCAAGATTTTAGATATGTCGGACCGATTTCGCTAATCATTCCAGTTGAAAGTTCTGTCCATCCTATCAATCTGTTTTATTTCTCTTCTAGACGAAGTTTCAAAGCACTTGCAGGCTAACATCACTTATGATTAAATAAATACTTGAAAACATGTGAGCTTATTTATTTTCAGCAATATCATGATTATAATTCGGCTTTTCTTTTTCTTTATCTTTCCTTGGTAAACAAGAGTTTGAGCAGAATAAGTTCGATTTTATCTCTCTGGAATCTCCTTATCCGCTTACAACGTGTAATGTTTTATAATCGGAATTACAAAAGTACTGACAAACGAATTTTCCTGAAACTTGATGTCAACACGTATTGGTATGGTGTAGCAAAGATACGAAAATATTAAAAAACTTGGTAAAATGTCGCACATGTGCGTCATACGTAAGTGAGTACTCAGAAAAGTGGGTAGGAGCAAACGAGTAGAAATAACTGGTTGCGTAATGATAATTAATAGAAAAATGAGTAAATCTGAATGAAAAATAAGTTCTAAATCTAGGAAATCGATTGAATGAATTTCTCTTATCATAGCTAGTTGGAAACCGGATTGGTAAAATATTGTTTATATTTTGCGGGCAGGACAATGTTATTGATTGCTTCCTTTTGAATATCAACATACAACATTCTCTGTACTTTCTCGATAAAAATAACGTCCAATAATGACATATATTTGAGATGCTTTATAATTTCAATTTAAAAGTATGAAATACTTATCATTATTTAACTCATTCGAAATGTTCGTTTAGCCTCAAGAATAAGTGCTTTCTGATAGGATAATAAAATACTAGTATCTGTACTCAGTGAAATCATGTTAGAATCTACATACACCTACCAGTGAATCTACAGAATGGTTGGATTTAACAAATAATGTGGGAAACTGTCCCATCTTGTATTTGTAGTACTTAAGAATTAAAAATAAATTGCATGTTTTATCCAACATCGCCTACGTCAGCTGCACAACGATCTAGAACTATGTACATTCCTGCTGACAGTCATCTACCATTCATTATCGATTACAAAGTAGAGAAATCTGACTATGAGACGCTAAAATATCCTCCCAGGATTATAACCAAATTTAATCAATAACAAGACATTCATTCCAATAACCGACAACTCAAGTAATCAAACTGAATCCGTTAATTCAATAGTTTAGAGTTTTATATATTGAAATGGTTCGGTTTTTCAATGATGTATACTTCATATGAGTTAACATGTTTTCAGTTGTAATTAACATTTCTCCTTTTATCTCTTTATCCTTTAAATATTTATTAACACTGGTTCTTTTTCCGCACAAATTTATTTCGTTCATAACTTCTCCTGGAGCACCTTTGGGGCTATTGCCAGTCCCAAGCCCAGATAAAGCAGGAGGTTTGGGTATAGGGTTAGCGACCTCATCGCGTAGAAAACTAACTCGCTAAAAACACACTGACCAGAAAAAATAACTCAAAAATCAAAACATTTTGAACTACATGATTTCCTAAATTTATGGTATTCAGTAGTTTTGATCAGTGTATGGAGTGTTATATTTACATATAAACCTTCGGTTAAAATTACATGCAGCTTCAATTAGACGTATTCACTGACTGCTGGTTAGTTCGTATTTAAGTTTATATAACTACAGATGGGGTATCATTTATTATTAAATTTAAAACTGACTCTAAGAAAGATTATATTGTTTCACAGATTAAAAACAATGAATCTTCTTCATATTCATCATAAATCAAATTCCAATAAATCTATTCTAGTTAATTATTAAGACTTTATTTTGTAAAGAGGTATCCATAAAATTAATCGTCTGAAGTCTTTTATTCGTTAATACATTATTCAAGTGATCTTGTTATTAATGCATAAATTAGATAATACAATGAGAAGACGAAGTTTGTTAGAACTATGCGAACAATCTAGTCACATAATAACTTGTTAAGATCCATGAGTAAAATGAGAAATGATCAAACTATATAAACTACAAATTTATATTATCTGAGTTGATTCAAACTGAAATGAAAACCGTTTTTTGAAAACATGAAAGGTTTTGGAATTTTCTTATATTTATGTTTTCAATAAAATTTAGTATTCTCAATAGAACACTTCTACACAATAATACAAAGGCTGATTTAAGAACTATCTAATTGTTTACTTGAAATAAATGTCAAAAAATAAGCAGATGCTTATTTATTATTGTACTGATATTGTAGAAATTCAAATGAATGTAAACTAGATTTAACAAATACAAGTGCAAAAATTATCAATCATTTCCAAGCTTCATTATTTCGACTAATTTGGCATAAAAAAATAAAATAACGTCAACTTTATTTTCTGTAACAAACTATTAAAATATAATTGAACGCATTATTATTAGCTGCATTGATCACCATAAATAGAAAACGTATTTGTATTAAGTTAATTAGGTAGTTTTACATCTGATTCAAGTGAAGTTAGACATTAATTTAGCTAGTAGTCTACCTGTATAAAAATTCCTTTCATTTTCCGACTGTTTCTAGGAGAGCTGAACTTGGCTTTAATATATATATATAT